ACCGGAGCATATATCGCAATCGAGTTACGGACAAGCTCACCTCTGTTCATGATACAATCTGGTGTTGTAGATCAGGGTCTGCAGCTGATACTCAAGCTGTTGCGGATATCGTTCATTACCAGTTGGGAATGTATGGGGTTTTGAACGGGAAAACACCAACTACACAAACAGCCGCAGCTATGTTCCAGGAACTCTGCTACGATAACAAGGATCAACTGAGGTATGAATAGAGTTCAACGCGGTTTTCTCATTCTAATTCGAAATTAGTGCCGGTTTGATTATTGCTGGTTGGGATGAACGACACGGAGGTCAAGTTTACTCAATACCATTAGGAGGATCATTACACAAGCAATCTTATGCTATTGGAGGATCTGGTTCGACATATATCTACGGATACTGTGATGCAAACTGGAAGGAGGGTATGGAAGAGGCCGATGCTGTTGATTTTGTCAAGGGCGCATTGCAGGAGGCTATTAAATGGGATGGGAGTTCCGGAGGTGTCATCAGAATGGTAGTTTTGACGGCTAAGGGAGCAAACAGGCATCTATACCTGCCAGACACGAATTATGCTGTTCGTCATCAGTAGATGATGAATGAATGTACGAATAGAACTCGACAATAATACCACGGAGTTTACGCAATGGATTAATTTGCAGGGTTTCATGGCGGTCAATGAGAGAAAGTTGCATTTTATATGAAGCGGTGAGATTAAGAATAGGAAGATTCTCATATGTGGCTTTCGAACCATGGTGTCACATTCCTTCTAGAAGTATGATTTGATACTTTTCGCGTGTCACGACATATGTGTGATTGTCCTACAGGGACAAACTAAATGAGGAAGATTCGATAGGTTTTCCTTTGATGCTTCTAGGGATGTAAAATTCAAGGTATTTGGGTATTGACGTGCGAATGTAAGATCATCTAGTTCTACTTGAGTTACCCTGGGTATCTTTTGATGGGAATACAAGCATCAACTCCAAGACTCCTTTAGATTTGAAAGCGTAACCGGACTGGGTTTATGATATCTATTGGCTCAAAGATGGGTTCGACAATAAGATTGTTGGTTGTGAAGAATTCCTAATAGTTTGGTTGCCGGAAGCTTTAGAGTCTTGCCAAAAATGTATGTACAGTTTATGTCGCAATAGCTAGTAGATACTACTACCTACCTACCGGTCCTGTGATATTCGAGATCATCTATGGTTTAGATCTACCAGGCTTTGATATTCGGTTTAGCGATTTTACTTAAATACCGATGATCGTTACTAGACAAGATTAGTACTGTTAATACTTATCTGAGTATTCATTTAATCTAAAATGACATTAATCGTATCACTTGTATTATTCTGTAATTTCTTCTTCAGAAAGAGATAGCGACCTACCTACCTACCTCCAGATACCTAGCAGTACTTTTTAAAAATATATCCTATCAAAAAAACATCCTTTTTCTTCCTTTCCTTCCTATCTATCATCATCATCCTGCATTTTACTGAATCAGTTCAGGTGGGACTCTTAGGAATTCAGGGTTCTCAGGTTTTCGTCATAGGGACCTTGGATCTATTTTACTACGGCCAGTGATAGTGAATGGATTGAAGCACAACCTCCACACACCCACACATTCACTCACACAACCCATACACCCATACACCCACACATCCATCCATCACTCAACCTGGTGAATTTCTACCCGCAGCACGACCTCGAATCTCTTTCGGTTCATTCAAATCACGTCCCTCCATCCACCCATCAACCATCCACCATCCACTATCCCCCATCAACAAACCACTTAATAAGTCACATCAACCTCCTTCTATTATCGATACGATACAGCATCAACACTTGGTGAAAATAATCCTACTTTTCAACAATCGTTGAGTATCTGAGAAATACTCGATAAATTACACTTCAAATATTTTTTTATGAATGCTGCAGGTAAGCTTTCATTCTTTCTTAATCCATACCTGCCAATATTCTGCATGCCCGCCCAGTCAGTGCAAATGGATGGGTATATGGGATCCTATTCCGTTACCCCCACGAAAGATTTATAAATGGCAACTAAATGGCGCGTCTTCACCACCATTCAACCTTTTGTCAGCCAAGTATAAACTTTTATCGCCATTCATAATGTTATCCAACACTGGAAGTTTTTGCCAGACGATACTTGGCAGCTGTTAAGAGTCAAAGGAAGGATTGTTTTGATGCTGGTCTCTATTTACCTTTTTACCCGGTAATCAAAGCCCGATCGATAGGCAAAGCAAACTACCTTCACGATAAGACTTTTGGGGAACCTCTTGGCCACTCCTTCACCAACGGCAACGAATCAGTTACCGCTCACGGATTTAAACAGACCCCTCACCATTATTCTATTCTCTCTTCTCCACATCGTTCCGGCCATCGCAGATTTGGAAGAACTAAGCTAATCGCGTACGACTGATCAGGTTTTCACAACCATAATATTTACTTGACATGGCTGCGGTGATTGATTTTGTGTCAGATTCATCGCGCTTTCACCCTCATACAATGATACCCGGCGCAGGGCATCATGGATCTTCAGAGGATTCACCATATCGACAACCTTCCAGGTCCAGAGTCGAACCTCCACTCAGTTCGAAACCCCACCCCACATCAGTAAATGATGGTACCCCTCCTCCAAGCGCAAACACTCATGCCAAATACGCCGACTCTCACGATGTAGACCACCGCACAAGAGTGAAGTCTGAACCTATTTCTCCTCCTTCGAGTTCTAGTCCAAATCCAGGTTCATTTTCAAGTCAACAAAACTTTCCACCATCTTCAGGTCCTCATGCACGACCTGAACATTCGCATACAATGAGTACGGATTCTCTCCTTAAATCTCGAAATACTTGTGCGACTTCTGAACGGACTATTACGAGATCAGCAAAGTCTCTTGATGATGTACAAAAATATGATGGTAACACGATCAAAGTTCGAGATCTGGCACATATCGAAAGTTTTGCCAGCGAAGAATTCCTTTCATTTAGAGGTCAACCTGGAAGTCAACGTACAGCAGATGATCCTGGATTAAAATACGAGATTAGTGGCATGCCCATTACGGATATTATTGAAATGGTAGCTGGACTTTTGACCAAAATCACCACCACAAACGATCGTCAACATGAAGCCTTGCAGAGAGGCATTCCATCTTCCGAGAACACAAGCAATCTTACTGGACTTTCCTCGAGCGTATTAGCGTTCCATGGAAAGAATGTGCCTAGTATTACGATTTTGAGTTACTTAACTAGAATACACAAGTACTGTCCAACAACATACGAGGTGTTCTTGAGCTTGTTGGTCTACTTTGATAGGATGACGGAGAGAGTTAACGCAGCACCAATAAATGCTATGCGACGAGAATCAATGGATCAGGATAATTCTCGACCTTCGTCTACTTACTCCGCCGAAGGTTCCGATTTGGCAGATACTCCACCAGGAGCTAGAAGCGTTCCTGAACTCAAATCAGAATTTGAAAATGCTCAATACACTCATTCACCTGGACCTGACCCTGGATTGGCTCAGTTCCCTCTCTCACACTTCTTTGTAGTTGACAGCTTCAATATTCATCGTTTGGTTATTGCTGGTGTTACTTGTGCAAGCAAATTCTTTTCTGATGTATTTTATACAAATTCTAGATACGCCAAGGTAAGCTTATTGATGAGTTGTCGTTTTCTTAACACTGACGTTTGTTTAGGTTGGTGGATTGCCATTGAATGAACTAAATCATTTGGAGCTTCAGTTCTTACTATTAAACGACTTCCGATTATCCGTCCCAGTAGAAGAATTGGAAGCTTATGGCACAATGCTTGTGGATTTTTATGCTCGAGAAATCCTTGATCAAAAACAAGGAAATGGTATGACAGGAAGTGCATACAAACAAGAGACATCTTGAGATTTTAATCCTTCTAATGTTTCTAAATGTAAGGAATCACGATAAACCTATGTTAGTGATTGTCTGTGGTTTGGACAAATGTTGGTTATTAGGTCAACTGGATGATAACAGTTCTCGATGATTATGGTGATGAGCTTTCAGCAATATAGATTTTTTTCTTCGTTTATATGCGAGGTCAGCGGCTTCTTCTCCCTTTTCTATTTCTCTTATTTGAGATTGATTTGGTTTAGAGCAATTGATCATAAAAGATACCCTTCTTTTTCTTACACTCTCTTAATATCACTTTACGAAGATTACAGATCTCAAATTTGGTTTTATCACGTAGCATCGTGTTTCATTTTTGATAATTTGGTCTTCTTGCAGGTTTAGTCCTAGGAATGAATGGACTATGTTAGATTTTGACTTCTCTTTTTTTCTGGAGAGTTGGGATGGAATTCACAGGGGTTCAGTGGGTTGATATAAGAAGGCGGACAGACAGAGACGAGCAAATACTGGTTGAGTAGCATTAAACTGATGCACTTTTTGAGATATGGAGGGAAACATACGCAGATTAGGATGTGGCTAATTCGAAGATGAATTATCTATCATTCATCAATGATAGCATAGCATGGTTTTGGTGGAAAAAATCAAGTGGATGGATACAATTGATGGATGGAGCTAAATGCTTGAGCTGAGTGTTGACCTGAGTGCTTGAGCACAGCAAAAAATAGCGAAAGCGATGATATGAGATATGATGACAATACACTGGAGATGAATGGATGGATGACGGTTGGATGCTTGCTTGTATGCATGCATGGGGATATGAATGGGAGTATGAATTTTAGAGGTCCGGAATGAAATGTTTGATATGGCGTTGAAAGGGGGAGTAATTGGATGGGTATGAACCTGTTTGTTTGTGTGTGCTTTTCTATACATTACTTTTGGTAGCTTTCTTTAGCTCTCTATTGTTTTTGTTTTCCTTTTGCTAGGATTTTTTGTTCGTTTGTTTGTTTGTTTGGGTGGGGGTGGAGTGAGGAGCGAGTGTTATGTAGGTAGATTGGATGGGAGATGTAGGAAAGGATGGGGGAGGGGAAAGGAAGGGAGGTGAGGAAATGAGATGAGATGAGATGAGATGAGATGGGAGGTAAGGAGAAGGGGGGGAAAAGTTGGTGGATGTAGATTTAGTTGATTGATTGAGCTCATTAGGATTAATAGAATGAAATGGGATTGAATGAATTGATTATCATTTTCTAGTTGTATATTGTGTATACATATGTTTGTGTGTGCGTGTGTGTGTGAATATATATTATTATAAGAATATTGTTATATCATATAAAATCTACTATTCATTCTAATTACTCTATATTATAAATTCTAATATATCTATCACCCAACCTCAATCTCAAACCTCAAACCCTTTCAATCCACTCATTCCCTATCAATCCCTAAATCTAATCTCAATACAAACACATAAATAAATAAACTAAAAAATAAATCCAAACCATCCAACTATCAAACTCAAACATAAACACCAAGACTAATACAGGAATAAATCTCACCCACCTTTCCCCCCCACATTTCTCTCTCTCTGTGTCTGTGTATATATATATGATTATATATATAATATACTTCTCAAAGCCACTTAAACCAAAAAAGATATATCAATAAATTCATATTCATATCCCTTGGATATTTTATGTTTTATGTTTTATATTTTAATCATTAATTATTCGAGTGATTATATCTATCTATATTGTGGAAAGCTGTTGTTGGGTTTGATGGGTAGTTGTTAGTGAGTTTTAGTAAGTTTTTGGTTTTTTGAGGTTGATCAATTGTTGGATGTTGATTTTAGGAGTGAGGATAGAGATGAGGATGAGGATGAGGATGGGGAGAGGAAGGGGAAGAGGGGGAGAAAAGAAAAGAAAACTTATATCTTTCTTTATTATCAATCCAAGCAAAAACTTCCCATGTGAAAAAATTAATATTTCTATATTCTTTTCTTTTCTTCTTTTTCTTTTTCCTTCCTCTTACTCTTTTTCTTATACTTCTACCCTCATTCTTCATCTTCATCTTCCTCTTACTCTTTTTCTTATACTTCTACCCTCATTCTTCATCTTCATCTTCATCTTCATCTTCATCTTCATCTTCATCTTCATCTTCATCTTCATCTTCATCTTCATCTTCATCTTCATCTTCATCTTCATCTTCATCTTCATCTTCATCTTCATCTTCATCTTCATCTTCATCTTCATCTTCATCTTCATCCTCCTCCTCCTCCCACCCCTCCCCAATCCTCACAATACCCTCTTAATCCTCTTATCTCTCTCCTCTTGTTGCCTACTTCTCCTCCACCTCTATTTCCTCCTCTTCCCCTCGAAAATAAATCCTCTATTCTTTTTTCTATTAATTTCCCATCTTTTTCCTTTTTCCTTTTCCTTTTTTTCTTTCCTATTTTTCTAGGGGGTTGAAATTTATTGGCATTTGTATTTGTATTTATATTACGCATCTGTATGTACATCCGCTCCCATCTCCTCAATCCTATCAATAATATACCTATAGAACTAGGTCCAGAGCCGAATTCTCGTAGGGTGGGTGGGGTGGGGTGGGCGAGGATTTTTATTTTTGAATTTATTTTTGACTTTGATTTTGTTTTTCTATTTCTTTTTGGACTTGAATTTGAATAAGTATAAATATAAATATAAATATCAGTCTGAAGAGATAACCCCAAAACAACAGTCTGAAGTGTTCGAAGAAGAGGCGAACAGAGGATGTATGTTGGATTTAGATGAGAGAGTTTGGTGTTTAGGGTGGGGCATTGGGATTTTCCGTGGGGGGTTAGAGGGGGATCGGTGAGGGGGGGTGAGTGGATGTGAATGTGGGAGAGGGGGAGGTTGTTGTAGGCCTGGGGGGTGTTAATATGTAGAGGGAGGGGAGGATAGATAGGGAGGAGGGAGGAGAAGAGGGGAAGGAAATACCTGGGCGTGACGACGAATTTTATTATTATTCTTGCTTTATGGGGGTTTGGTTTGGGTTTATACTTAGTTCTGGAACTCCGACTATCCGTAGATTTAGATCTTTCCGTAATTTTAGATCTATCTCTAGATTTAGACCTTTCTGCAAATTTAGACCTTTCCCTAGATTTAGATCTTTCTGTACTTCCACATCTTTCTGCAGATCTAAATCTTTCTATACCTCCACATCTCTCCCCAGATTAAGATCCGCCAATACATCCATCCATAAACTTCCCCATAACCCCAGCTTCCTCAGAAAAACATTTCCGAGACGGTAGAGAAGCCGATCCAGATTTAGATTTCCTAGGAGAACTTTTCAACAAATCAGTATCAGTATCCTTACATCGGGAATGTGAGGATGATTTCGGGAATCAGAAACCTATGGTTTGAGTAATTGGGTTCTTACTGAGGGATGCTGTTCTAGTTGGTTAGATGGGATGGGATGGGATGGGGGTATAGAGATTTTCGAGTATGAATGCGAGATAAGGATTGATGTAATGGGTGTGAATGTTTGATGTGAAAAGTAAGATGGAGATGGAGATGGAAATGTGCATTTATACATAATAAGATTACATCATTAAGAAATTCTTGAGAAATATGGAATATAATGAATACATCGCACCACAACACAAGAACCGTATAACAGCAGAAACTAATCCACGGAGGCGGTGGCCATTTCTCCAAAAGAATTCCCGCCCAATGTATAGAGTCACACTTATATTTACTTTGACTAACCCTACATCTATAACAATAATACTATTGATCCACTAGAAAAGAGTATCTATCATCTACCATCTTTTACTAAATCATATGTAGAATCCTAAATCAGAGAAACAGACAGATGATTTAAGATAGAAGCCCAGTGAGGCGGGGCATGTATGCATGCTGTAATGGTCTTTAATAGGTCTGGGTATTATTGAGAAGCAGAGGCGATGATTTTAGATGATGTGAATAAATGAATGAATGAATTAATTAATTGTTGATGGTTGATGAAGGAAATAATTCTAATTCTAACTGTAACTCTAATTTTAATTCTAAGAATGACTTTTTGTGAGATATTTTCAACATAAAGATCCTCACCTAAATCAAAACTGATACACCCTACTATAGAATAAAACTAACCAGTACAGTTTTGCCAATGCTAGTCTCTTCTATTGATACATGTGATATAAACTCAAACTAAAAAGTTTCCACTAGATACCCTAGCAGTCTCAGGCCTTCAAAACGGCCATTCGTTCGCCTTATTGAGAGGCGATGTTCGGTAAACACATCAGCTAGTAAATTTGAAGAATTTTCAAGTTTTCTAATTTGGGTATTCATTCAGTAAATGCATGAATGAATTATGAAGAGTACAAGCACCAGCACTAGCACTGGCACTGGCATCGCCATCACATTTCATTTTCATCATTTTGTGGCAATTTAAAAATTGATGCTACTAGTGTGCTGGGTGAGTAGTTAAATAGCAAATCAAACTCGGAGAGGAGTTGTTTGATTCTTGATACTTGATACTTTATTGATACTATATACCCATTCCAACTCCCATTACGCCACAACAAACAAACTGTAGAGGAGTTCCAAGAATACAATACACACAAAGCAGCGCAAGTCCCAGGTTCCTCATTCCTCGTTCCTTATATTACTCCCTCACTCCCTTCCTCCCCTTCCTCCCTCCCTCCCTCCCCCCATACAAGCAACCAACTTATTCCATCCCATCTCTCCAACTTCCATCCCCAGGAAGATATCAGGAAAATAAGATCGATATCAATCTTACAATACATACTTACCTAACCGTGAAATAAAAACTTCTATTCACAAGAAATAATTTACACAGGTAATCAATCAATCAATCAATAAGATAACCATCAAGTAAGAAACTTTTCATTCATTCATGCACATCTTAAATAAGAGCAATTGGCTCGATACCAGAAGCTAGCTAGCTAGCTAGTTAATATATAGAGTTGAGTTGAGGTGAGTAGATTTATCCATCTACCTATCTAGTGAATTAAACAGCTTATTGATATAATTATAATAAACAAACCAATAAAATATAAAAAACTAAAATAAACTATCTATCTTTTGTTGCATACCTGAATAATAGGGGGGGGTACCATCTACCTATCTATCTATCTATCTATCGACACTGTTGACTGGAGACGAGTAGTCGAATAGAACCATCCCAGTGATTTCAGTTCTCCCATTGATTATCTCATCTTCCTCGCAAGAATAGATTTAATTTTAACTTCTCGGCCCCAGAAGACTTGTCTGGGTTAAATTGGATAATCTGATCTATTGAAATTGAAAAAGGAGAGCACTTCCAAATTTCTGCAACGACGATGGAATAAGAATAGCTTAGTTCTCTATTTCTAAAACACAGGAGAAATCATGCATCAAAAGTTCATCACTCTAAGATTGCATGAACTGGTAAAAAAAGATCAACTGAGATCAAATCAATGCGTAAAATGTATCATTAGAGTGTCATATGCTGTGATAAGCTCAAAACCTTTAGGCCATGTAAAATGTAAAGGCAGGTGTTGATACAAAGAGATTTGTTTCTCACACATACTTCTTTAACTATTCCTCCATCTTATCTCCTTCGGCAGGTTTCTCTTCTTCTTCATCATCTTCACCTTCCAAAGCCGCCTTCGCTAACTTCTCAGCTTCCTCAAGAATATCCTTTGGTACTTCCTCATGTCTTCCCTTTGTTGGTCCATCAAGATTGCTAATCCAGGTCATCTCAAGCTCAAATTCCTTATCCTTATTGTCATCATGCGCCACGTAAATAATTCTTGCAGCTTCTTTGACACCATCTAATAGACTCAACTTCCCTGCTGCAAGATCCAACTTCTCTAACTCGGCCTTTGCGACTTGACGTCCTTTACCAGTAGCAGCTCCATAGTAACCCCAGTATAATCCACTTGGTTCAATCATATAAAGACCAGGTCCACCATACTTCTTGCCTTCAACCTTTCCCCCAGAACCAATAGATGGTCCACTTCCTACTTGTCCATCAACTGGTAATTCCTGTTCAGAATCATAACCTGCAACGATCGCAGTAATACCGAATGGTCGTACGGATGAATAGAGGGTATATGCTTGAAGGTATCCACCCATTCGACTAGCCAAATCTGAGGTTGTAATTGGAGTTTTATAAACGTTACGCCAACTTGCAGCTTCATCGCGTGCACGGGAAATGAAATGTCTACCATCTGGTACTAATCCTGAAGATACCTGTAAAAGGATAATTAGCCATCTAATCACTTCAAAATGACTATTCAAGTATCAAGGTTGTACATACAGCACCCATATGTCTATCGATTGTCGCAATACGTTTGTTGGCTCCCGCTTTTAAGAGCTTGCTGGTGATGATCTTCTCAACTGCAAGTACAACTCCATCTTTACATTTAATTCCAACAGAGGTTCCACCATTTTCGACCGCCTTTACTGCATATTCGACTTGGAAGTTTCGTCCATCCGGGGAGAAGACGGAATTCGAAAGATCGTAACCTGTACCTATCGAAGTCTAATATAAGGTGGGTAGTTAGCTTGAGAAGCTCATTTATTGATGAGATGTGCCAATCTGAATAAATTGAAGCTTACCATGATTTCTAGATTTTGTTGGAGGATATCGGAGAGCTTTAAAAACAAAGAATTGGGATGACGTGGAGAGATTCGGAGGGATTTAATGAAGCTCTTGAGATTCTGTATATCAGAGCTCCAGGCACCACGAAACGCGTTTAGGTTGGCGGCGGCTCTTAGCGTCATCTTTAATTATTGGCCTTGATGTTAAGGCCAAGATGTAAGTCACATGATGATAAGAGAATCAACGGATAAGACGATAAGACACGAGAGGCAAAGAACTAAAAGGGCTACCCCTGATAGAAAGTGGTACCCAATAACGAAACATGGGGGGCACGGGAAAAGAGTCTCATGCAGGTCGATCAAGTCATTCAGTCTTTCACTCCACAACATCAATCACATCGCCTTTGACCATGACCTTGTGCTTGCCGTGACTCTTTGTACTTCTTTTTGCTAGGTATAGAGTACACATATTTCTCGATTAGTACAGTACAGTGGCCTGACCAATATTCCATTGGATTTAGTTGAACGGATGGAATTAGAAGAGTAAACCAAAAGGATCTTATTGGTGACGCTCCGCTGGGCCACTGCCGTGGAGGCCTTTTCGCTCCGCTCCAGGTTCGAATTTCATGGATAGATGGATGGATGGATGATATGTACTTAACCTCCCTATGGTAACCTTGAGTGATTCTTGGACTTGATCGGAAAACACAGTGAATTAGATCTAGAGCGAAGCGAAAAAGCCTCCATGGCAGTGGCCCAGCGGGGCGTCATCAACTCAGTCATATTTTCATATTTTCATGTTTAATCTTTTGGCTTGCGTAAGATAACCATATCAGATGATTTTATACTCAGATGTCCAGATAGATGCAGCAACAGATTGGATTTGAATTTAAAGGGATTACTTTGCCTACCTAGTACTTAATCTTCCCCATTAAACAATACTAGGTATACCAAATATATTTCTAATGATCTACAAACAGCTGTTCATCTCTTTTGGTGAAGCATAAAGATCTGAAATGAAAAAAGTAACCTCATCCAGTAAATCGATGTAAAGGTCATACTCGTGTCATAGAACAATTGGCAGATAAAATGATTGAATGGGGATTAATGGGTTAAAATAGTGCAACGCTAACAGCCCAATATGTTTAAAATAGAAAATCATTGGCTTTTAGAGAATGTTGGGTTGGACATTATAAAACAAAGAGGGGTTTATCAAATCACTTATCAATCAACAATCAGTCACATTACGGCTATCTCTTTGATACCTAGTACATGCGTACCGTGCCATCGAACCGGAAACATGAACTGAATGAATATCGAAACCTCCTTCCTTCTTTCCTTCCACTTTACATCTTTTTATAAACTTCCATCAACATTATGTCTTGCTATCAAATCCTCTCACAATAACATATAAACCCACTTCAAAGTTACTAAACATTTACATTCATCTCTTTCTAATTCTGAGACTTTCGTGGCGACTGAATCATTCCAAATAAGCTCATTTCCCAAAGGTCATCTTCCTCCCCTTACCCGCGATCGCCGCTACCACCCTTCAATCTAAGAAATCCCTTCCATTTCTCCCAAGAGTAATCCCATTCTACCTTTACTTCAGTACATAGCATAGTCAATAATAACAAGCAAACCGTTTTTGCATTTGTCCACAAAAGTCTGCTCCATTCTCTTGCATATTGCATGTTCGTCTGACTATAGCCATTTTACTACAAAGCAGAACGACATTCGGCTTCGACCTCTTTTCTTTCTCAAAAATATTCCAAACAGTCGAGATACTTTACAAGATCCATCTTGAAGATCGTCAGATCATTTGCAACTTAAGGTTTGTTATTCATCTTCCTCAAAGGTAACTCAACTGACGCATCTGCTGTAGCATTAAGTAGTCAGTTACACATAGAGCGTCATGGCTACACAAGAAGAGCTCGCGATGCTTTTCGCTCGCAATCTTTCCCTCCACAATCCTCCTCCTCCTGTCCCCGTAGAACAACCAAAAGAAGTTGAACCAACATATACATACTCAGTTTCTCAACATTATACCCATTCCGCACATGTTGTTAAGCAACCATCCAGACCAGCTTCCGAACCACCGCAAACAGATCAACTTACAGTAGATATTATACTCGCAAGACATGGTGTCGATTCTTCCTCATTATACCCTACCCAAATTGAACTCTTCAAGACCGCAGATGCTAGTCAGCAGATGCGATTAATTGAGTTATGGAGAATCTGCCCACCATACAATGGAGGGCAAGCGTTGCCACAAGATCTGTGGACTGGGCCTTCTACTAGCTTTGAGCAAGAAGAATCCATGGCAAGGTTGAGATATGAACGACAAATGTTGGAAGAAAGAATGTCTCGAACACAAGATTCAAGTATGGATGATGATACTATGAGTGATGGTAGTAGCCATGCTCCATTGACACCAATTCAAGGTGGAGATGCACGCTGGAATCATGCCGAGAATGTTGAACCTTACATGGCATCTGGTTATGAGCTTTTAGCTGCGCGAGACTATGAACAATCAGCGGGTCCCTCTAAAGACATATACTCGCACTTCGGATCGGCAGTCGGTGGACCTCAGTACAAGCAATCTATTGACCCCGTCTATAAGACTGTCGAAACTATTCATGGATACCCAAATGTTGAAGCGATGGAGAATCAGTGAGTATTTTCTTGCCAAGTTCATGAGTTGGCACTTTACTCTCCCCTTTTTTCGTTAACCCCACCTCGAACAAACCCCACTTTACGTTTTTAAATGCAACCCCACCCCTTTCTTTCTCACCGATTTTAATAGCTTCTCACATTTGCGTTTTCACTAACTAAATATCATAGGTATGGAGCATTTCAAAATTTTCAATTCGGTGGATACACAAATGGAGGTGAAGATGAGGAGATGTTGTAAATAATCATACGTTTTACTCTAGGTAGCTATAGTTAGCACTTCCATAGAGTTAAGCATGCCAGGCATGGAATTTGGGGAAATTGTTATTGTTCGGCGAGACATTGCATGATATTTTTGGTTCTTGGAAGGAGTATCTGGAGGGCTATTAGGAAATGCATGCATGGAGTACATCTGCATTTATATTCTACAAAATATGTTTTAAGGCTGGTGGTTGGTCAAAGACGATGATTCCTTCGTCTTTCATGTACTTTTCTTATCTTGATTTATGATTTCTTTCGTGCGAGGTACGTACCTTCTGATCCTTCTATCCCTGTTACACATTCGTCCATTTCTCGATCCCTCGATCCCTCGATCCCTCCATTACCCCTACCTTTCCTCCCCTATACACTCTCGCTACGACAGTTCAACAGTCCATACCTTCCTACACTTCTTCTTTTGCCCTTTTCATCCAAATCACATGAGCATCAAACATCACTCATTAGGTACTGAAGGTACGCATAATCCCCTCCCTTCTCTACTCTACTCTCCGCTTCCCATCTCAATCCCCATTTTTTAATCATACAACCTCTTACTACTCACATAAAAGCTTTCTTCTCTGGATTCACAAACAATCGCATTCCATTTACTGTATCGCCATCGCCATTGGTATTTGGACCTAGACCTGGACCTGGATCTGGATCTGGATTTTTATTGTTTCATGCCCAATCACTCATTTTCTTTTGTTCTGATTGATATTTGTATGCTCTAGTGTTAGATGTGTTTTACAGTTTTGCAGATGTAATGGAATATAATTATTTTATACCTAGTTTAATAATGCTTTGATTTTGGATTTGAGTTTTTGTGATGGTGATGGTGATAGTGATGATATTATATACTGTAATATAAGTCTAGTACCCCACTTCTCGGCCACCCCTAATCTCGGCCACCGTTTTACACCAAAAATCGCTATTTTTAACTATTAATAACTTTATAATTGATTAATGCAATTCAATAAAATTTGAACTATAGATTGATTATATAATTATTTGTTAAAAGGAATAGAAGTTACCGGTACTAATCACGTGTCGTGATTAGTAATACGGTTACCTAAACAGGCTAGATTAGACGAACCATAAGCAGGCATATTGGTCCCCTCCGAGTGTCACACTCAAGAATACTGAGTAAAGTATCTTGTATTAGAAAATACTAAGCTAAGGAGAAAAGAAGAAGGAAAACAAGAGTAGAGAGTTTTCCTATGATTAAATACAAACGGGGCATGCCACGTGACCCGGAGGTGTGAGGCGTCACACCGAGGATACCAAGAGGATATTTTAAGATGCCTACACGTGTAGTAATATAGTCAATATAGAGGCCTCTTCCACCCAATCTTTTAATATTATTAATAAATTCTGAAAATCTCAGATCTTTAATACTTGATTTCATTGAAATCTGAAAGGTTAAACTTTTGAATTTTTAATTTGTTGTTACGTCGGACTCCACAAGCCCATTACCACGTGATGGACCCTACATAATATGCACGAAAAATAAAGGTCCAACATATTCTTAGGTCCAGGACTTTTCGGGGTCCTGAAGGTCCATAGCATAAAGATCTATATAGTCAGGACGAATTTCCTTTGTATAGAGCTTCGTGCTCAAGATCAATCATTTAGTATACTCTACTATTAGTTACTAATTGTATCATTGTCATTACTTAAGTCCCTGCTTGACGTCTAGTTATAAACCTCCTCGAGAGCGTAGGGCACTTCTACATGATCTAGAC